GGCAAAAATGCCTATAATTATTAATGCTCCGTCGGTTATTGTAATACTCATATTATTTTCAATTCTTTACTAAAAATCATAAACAAGGCAAAAAATAGACAATGGAGACCATTAGGAAAAATATACCCATCGGAGTTGCCCTTTGTTCTTCTTTTAAAACATAAAAGTAATTAGTAAAAGTATAAAAACAAGGCAAAAACATGAATACTTTGACTACGATTGCTCCGATTTTATTTATTTGGTTCATTTGTTTTTTTTAAGTTCCTCGGCTGAATTTTCTTTGAGACACTTTTTTATCAAAGATATCCTTTTCTACTAAATCTATAATTTCTTTTGGTTTTTTACCTTTAACTTCATTTAGTTCTCACATTAATTCTTGAAAACGAGTAATAAAACCATCATCTTCTCAAGTAATTAGAGCATTAAAGTCTTTTCTTCCTCGGAATAACTCAGTCATTAAAGCGAGAGTGGAAATTCCGGTCAGTTTTTTTCTTTCTTGGCAAAGCGAACATTGGTCACAACTTTTTCTTTTTTGATAATCATAACAATTAATCGCTTTATTTTTGGTATAACGAGAACAAACGTTTATTCCTGACCTAACAACTTCCATTTGGTATTTAAAGCACTCAATGCATAATTTATGATCTAAGTAATCAATTATATCTAAGTTCTTATCTTTACACTGAACACAATCTCCCGTGCTTTCTTTACCAAATTCTTTCACTTTTAGCAAGTGTTTTTCTTTTTCGAGGGAAGATAAAGAATTTCAAACTACCAATTCATTTTTTTCCATGAATTTAGGAGAAGTGGTCTTAATTCGTGGCTTTTAATTTTATTCATTTTTTTTAATTTATTAATATCTCATCCTCTTTTTTCTCACTTTTTAATCTTATTTGATAAATAGTTTTCTTTAAGGTTTTTTTTTTCTTGTTTCACCTTTAACATAAAGGCTTGTTTGCTTCGTTTTTTCTTACCGTTACTTCCTTTCATAGGTTTTTAAATATTGTTGGTAGTCGGTGGCTCGTAATTTAACCCTGGCTTTTCTTGCTTCAACAAATCCTCATAAAACTTAACTTGAATGTTTCGTTTTTTTAGTTCCTCAATAATCATTTCAGCATCGTTAAAGTAATTGAGGAATCCCCTAACTTGTTCAAAATATTTTCCATTTCATTCACTTCTTCAAGCCAT